AGTCCTGTTTGCAGGGCTTCTTTTGCAGCAGCTGCACGGCAGATGCTCGCCTCTGTTCGCAACAGTTCTCTTTGAGACTGAGACAAACCAGCAAATTTGATATTCAAATTTGTTTTCTCGGCGGCCAAGAGCCAATTTGAATTTCAAATTTGTGAGGCTGTGGACACAAGGACCAATTTGAATTTCAATTTGGCGAGGTTTCTATATAAGGACTATTACTAAGACAGGAAACAGCCAATTTGAATTTCAAATTTGCTGTCCCGGTGGGGCGGCCGCGAATTTGAATTTCAAATTTGCTTTCCCGGTAGGACGAGCATGAATTTGAATTTCAAATTTGCTGTTTTGGGTCTTGCAGCCCGATACAAGGCCTATGATTTTCGATTTGGCTGGTGACTTTGTGTTCCAGCATCATCTGCATTGCTCTGTGCTTGTACACTCCAATCATCCTCCAATCGCTCTGCCTTGCTGTTGTTTGCTGTTGCTGTGGGTCTGCATCGTGGGCGGTTGCTGCTTTTGCTGGCAAACCATGATATCTACTGTTCGCTTGCCAGTTCCGCTGCTGCTGCAGGCTGTCCTGTTGGCTTTGGTTCGGTGCCATGTTGAGACCCAGAACTCCTCAAAAGTCGTCATGTAAATTTACATGACGACTTCTGGGGAATTTTGGGTGTCCAAAGGGCCGATTGGACAGGCTGTGTGTTTCTCGGTGTTGTTGTTCTTTGTGCTGTTGTTGCTGCTGTTCTGCTTTTCCTTGTTGTTTTTGTCTTTCTTCTTGTTCCCCTGGTCGTTCTTCCGGCTGTTGTGCTTGTTGTGCTTCTTGCTGTTACTCTTATTGTCGTTGTTGTTGTTGTTGTTGCTGCTGCTGCTGCTGCTGCTGGTGCTGGTGTTGTTGTTGTTGTTGTTGTTGTGCTTCTTCTTGTTCTGCTTGTTGTTGTGCTTGTTGTTGATGTTCTTGTCGTTCTTGTTCTTCTTCTTCTTGTTGTTGTTGTTGCCGTTGTTGCTGTTGCTGTTGCTGTTGTTGTTGTTGTTGTTCTTCTTCTTCTTCTTGCTGTCGTTGCTGCTGTTGTGTGGTTATGCTTCTTCTTCTTCTTCTTGTTATTGTTGTTCTTGTTGTTGCTGGTGTTCTTGTCCTTCATGTGCTTGTTGCTTTCAGTTGTAGTTCTTCCTGTTGTTGCTGTTGCTGTTGCTGCTGTTGTGGTCCCTGTTGTTGTTGTTGTGGTTGTTGTG